GAGTAAATGACAGCACCAGCAATCCAGATGCTAAATCACATCAGTTTTACATCCTTTACTGTCTTGAAACTGCTCTTCATTTTTACCAAAACTTACTTTTGAAATTATCTCATCTGGCCTCGTTCAACAATTTCCTGAATATTCTCTCCTGTGTCTCTTATTTCCAGCCCCAAATCCATTCCCTGGAATCCAATGATGCAGAAGTTAACTACTAAGAACAAGGGAGGTGAACATGCCTGGGTATGAATCCTTACAAGCTATTTGTAGTGGGGTAACTTTCTTAACCTCTCAGCCTCACTTCCTTCTTTGCTAACGTAAAGAATAATGCTCGCCTCATGATTAATAAACAGTATTAAGGTAATACCCATAAAGCATTGTGAATAGTGTTCCATGCTTAGAAAGATTGGGTTACATATTTGGGGGGCTGGGAGTGGAAAGAGAGAAGGGTACATGTCAAGGACTATAAACATGACAGGATAAATATGCAATGTCCCATTGGGGATTTGAAAAAACATACCAAAATAAAGACACACTGTGGCATGTAATTCAGAATTTGCATAAACATTTAAAATGAAACCAGATTTCAAAAAACAAATTTCTCTTGCAAGGGTTGGAATTCTTCAGGATATGCCTCCTAAATGCCCTGGGGAATAAAATTTTTTTCTTCCCCTTATGATTCCTGATGTTTCTGCAACCACTGTATGTACTCAACAAACGCTACTGTGCAGTCACTCCCCAGCAAAACCTTCCAATGGGTCCCGCCAATATCCTCAGGCTAATGTAACAATGAACACGTGAACAGCGCCTTCCTTACTTCTCGCACTCATTTACCTCTACCTCCAAACCCAAGTCCTTTAGCACTGCAGCCTCCCCAGTGTAGACTTTATCTCTCCTCTATTATTGGATTTCTGTTCGAACCATCCTTTCTCCCTCCTACATCTTGCCTCCATCAGGTCAACTTCTTCAGTCCTCAGTTAAGCATCATTCCCTCTGGCAAGCCGCCTCTGTGTCCTTTTCTTTCAGGCAGCGCTAAGAGCCTCATGGGCTCCCACTTTACCTATCACACTGTCCTGGGTACATGGCTGAGTGTCTCCTACTAAACTGCTGAGCAATGCTCTGTCTGTGTCTCCCTCCTTCCTTCCCTCTTCCTCTCTCTCAGGGACCTCTGAACCAGCCTCTGCACTCTGGATCAGCCCAAGTTCCAGGGGTTGGCAAACGCCAGGATACCAGATAGACGCTGGCGTCGAAATACAGTCAAGAGCAGCTTTCGAGGAATGACTACCACGCAGCCACTACCGGCCCGGGGGAACGCGAGTCCTGCTTGCCGCTCTGCGCACGCGCGGGCGGCCGAGGGGCGGTCACCTGCGGGGACGACGTCCTCCCAGGGCCGCTGCGCGGGTTGGCCTGATCCTCCCACAGGAAATGCCACCTCCAACAGGCGCGCGGCTGCCGGCACCGTCCCCAGTGCCGTCGCTTCTCTCCTGTTTTGACAGGCTCCTCACCCCAACTCCGCACTCTGTCCGCTCGAAGCCAGCCCCGCCGCGCCGTCCGCAGGACCCCGCCGCCAGCGTCAAGCGCGCCAGGAGCTCCCGGATGGACGTAGGACACTGGGCCCCAGCCGCGCCGGAAGTCCCGCCTCCGGCACCTTCGCCCATGCGCGCAGAGTGCCCTGTGCGACTCCGCGGCTAGGAGTGTTTCCTATGCCTGCGCCTCAGAAGAGGACGGAAAGTTTTTCTTGAGATCTTCCAACTGGCCTTCGATGCACCAAGAAAACAAATCTCCTGCTTTTGCACGGCACCCACTTCCCATTCCGCAGCACCATTGCCGAACTAGTGCTAAGTAACTTTGCCTGCTCCTTTCCTCACTGTTGTTTTCCGCAGGAGAATTCCAAGGTCTCTCCTTGATACTTGGGTTGAAACTCCTACTCTCCGAGGGTATCATTTCCTTTGCCGCGTAACTACCATCTGAAATTTGTTGCTGTCTCCTTTAACCGCCACCTCAGGCAACATGGCCTTTGTTTCCCGCATTAGCCATTCCAAAATCTTGCTACTACCCTTCTATGTCTCAGATAGCTCCCAGAGGGTTTGCCTACCTGTCCCTACAAGAGCATGATTGGTACTCGTATACTCCCTCTTTCCTCCTCCCAGACCTTCTAGGTCACTAGTTGTGTCTTGACTCAAATAAATTATTTTAATCTAAATAATTTAAATCCAAATAAATTGAATGCAGAATGTTCATCCGTATATAATGACTAAATGAACAACTTTCCAGGGCAGTCTGACTTGTATGGTGACATACAAGTTACACATATGGGACACCTGACCAAACTGCTGCCCTACCCTTGACTAGGAACCTCTGTCCAACACCGGCTCTGCCCAGTGCTAAGTTACCATGCTTGTAAACCTTTCTGTCCCCTGACTTTTACTTTTTTTCATTACTGGATCTGAAGTTCTATCTTAAATTTGTTGAGTCTATTTCCTGTGTGATGTCTTTATTGATTGAAGAAAAAGAACTTATGTAGTTTGCCCTGCTGAACCAATTGAGTCTCTGACTACATTAAAACACCACTGAAGTATTTTAAGCAAGTGGGTACTAAGACACGCATTTTTCTAAATGCTTCCTATGGCTGCAGTACAGAAGCGAACATGGATCCGAAAGGTGCAAAACTGAATGAAATCAGAAAAGCATTACAGGACTGGAAGTGATGCTTTAACTAGGGTGTGTGGAAATAAACCAGAGAACAAATGAAAGAGCTCATTAGGAGGTAAAACAGAATTGGTGATCAGTTAGACTGGGGATAAGGGAAGAGTCCTCAAGATAACTACTAGGCTCCAGGCTTGTGCAGTTGGGTAGTATAAATGATGGTATCATTATGCCAGGACTAATGGCTTCTTCCTCACCAAAAGGCTCTGCTTGCCACACAGCAAGAAGAGAAAAGAGATGGGACCTCTAAAAGGAAGAGCAGAACTTGAAAGAGAGTCAAGAAACCCAAAGGAGGTTTACCCAACCCAGTTATTAGTAGGGTGTAGTGGTACATGCCTGCAATCCCAGCATTCTGAGAGGCTGAGGCAGGATCACAAATTTCAACCATGGGCAATTTAGAACTCCAAAGCTTATCCTGGTCACTGATACTCTTGCGTGTTACCCATTGTGTTCCCTTGTCCCTCGCATGTTTTCACAATTATCGAAAATTAAGTGAACACTCAAGGAACAAGGAAACTTAAGCAAAAAAGAACTCTATCTTGCTGAGTTTAAAAACTATTTTGGTAATAACTTTGAAACTAATAAATCACTGAAAGTTTTTGACTTCCTCCGAAAAGTCTACTTCAGGTGTACACATCCTTCATTGAAGATGCAAAGGATTAGTGATCTTGAAAAGATAGATACATGTATAAGTATGGATCAGTCTGCTGTTCTTAGTTATTGACCTTTTTATTTTTTTTAACTTTGTAATACCGTGAGTTGAAACAAGGGCTTCTGCGTGCTAAGCGGTCTACTCTAGCTACATTTGCGATCCTTTTTGAGACATCTCAGTAAGTTGCCCATGCTGGTCTTGAACTTGGGACCTTTTCTGCATCCATATCCTGATAGCTAGTATCATATAAACTATATCTGGTTTCTTTTTTTTGGTTTGCTTTTTTCCAGTACCGGGAATCAAACTCATGACCTTGCGCGGGCAGGCGCTGTGCTGCTGAGCTAAATCCCCAGGCCCTTTTGTCTGGTTTCTTATCGACCAATTTTAAGACCAGGTACCAAAAACTACTGAGGTTTTAGTAAGTTAATTTGCCCTAAGTCACAGGGAAAATAAAAGTTTTGTTGGTATTAGAAATACATCTGCTTCCTGCCCTTTTTACTATTTATATATTGCTTTCTCTCTCATTTCTTGACTGCACACACAAAAACTCAAGTGACTGCACATACCTGTAGAGCACAGATCGTACTGCTAACTCTTACTGGGATTTAAAAAATTCTTTTAGTACTGCTTTTGAAACTTTAGGATTTTGTAGAAATGTCCTGGAAAACTTCACAAGCATGGAGGGAAGGCTGAACAGTAGGTGTTTGAGCCTAGCCCTGCTTCAACTAAAACCAGAACAGCTGTTACCCGTTTCAGATATTGGGGTTTTATACTTGTTAGAACTTCTTTGTAAATTTGATTCTGCTGTTCAAAGTTTGAAAACCACTGTACTTGATTAAGGGTTAGGGCATGGATCCTTTACAACAGTTCAGAGGCACAGACATAAGGGCTACAGGATATATAAGGGCTCCAAATACTATGATGTTTTTGTATGAATGATCACAAATTGTTAGTCCTGACAGTGGATAAAGGGGAGACTGTCAGCAAGCAATCAGCTGCTTAAATCATTGTCTACTAAAATAAGGTACTATGGTTACTATGTTCTCTGAATCATGGCTGCTCTGGGGAAAATAGGGCCAATGCATGAGAGCTTACAAACTTCCCTTCAACCATATTAAAACTGAATGTAAGTGGTCTTGTGTAAAACTTGTGTAAGTGGTCTCCAGAGATGAAATACTCTGATGTTCAATTTCCTCAAAACTGCTTTGCTACAGATTAATATGCCCTGTTTGACTGCTCCTCAGTGGAGTGTGGACTTGAAAATATCCCAACACTAACAAGAAGGTATGCTATATTATTTTACATGGAAAAGGGTATCAGAGCAAAGTCTTTTTTCTTTTTAAAAATTTTGTATAGTTCATAGCATATGAAAAAATGGAATGCTCTTAACTGCTTTTTAAAAATTTTGTTTATAGGCTTAAACTCAGATTTATGTGTCAGTTCTGCTAGGGCAAAAGAGCACTACCTGTAAATACCAAATATGCTACTCACTTTAGCTTAGTAACCAAGATTCCCTGGTACATTTCCTTAGTCTAGCTGTAGGCCCACACTGTAAACCAAAGATCATCCATCTCTAATTCAGGTACCCCAAAAGGTATTAAAGAGATGCCCAAATAAGTCATACAATAAGTTACACAAGTCCTCCTGACATGTCAATAATTCAATTTATTTACTGAAGAAAAAATGGATTGTGAACATTTACTGTCATTAAGTCCAGTCAAGCACAATGGCCTATACCTGTAATCCCAGCTACTTAGAAGCCCGAGGCAGGAGGATTGCTAGTTTGCAACCAACCTACTCAACTAACTGAGACTGTCAAAATAAAAAAGGCTAAGGGTGTACATGGATAGAGTACGTGCCTAGCAAGTGCTAGGCCTTAGGTTCAATTCTCAATACCAGAAAAAAAGAAAGAAATCTATAAATTAGCAATTCTACAGCAAAGAACATAAATAGATATTTTACACAAAAGATATTAATACAGTTAACAATGACATTTATACTAAGGTACAAAAACAAATGCTTGTCTAGGAAATTCAACTTTATTTATAAAAGTTCTATAAACAAAGATTCTATTTTCAAATATTATAACTGGTAATTTTCACAAAAACCATTTACAGTTTTAACTTTTCTACATAAAACTAGTATGGGATGAGCAAAAATCCTCACAAGATGATCTAAGACATAATAAAAACAACTTATCTAGCACAAATGCTTATTTACAATAAAGAATTAGAATCATACCCTTTAATATACTGTTCCATCAAGAAAAGGAAACATGATAATTTGGGAGAGGTACATGCTTCACAATAAAGTCATCTTAAATAGTATAGTTTATGATTGCTCAAGATTGCTCTTGTAGGCTAGTATTTGTGCTGATTTATTAACTAAGTCATCATTGTAAAAAGGGCACAAACTTTTCTATATAGATCTTTCTACTAATGAAAACATGTAGATTATCAATCTGGTCTAATTTAAGCCAATTAATAAAACCAAAAAATCATTATGTGACTTACAGAATTAGAATTCCCCCTGAATAAGAGTATTGTCCCTCTATAAATTTAAATTCTTCACAGCACAGCAGATACTTAACTAAATATTTAACTAAAAAATTCAAAATAAAATTATTGAGATTACCTATTTACCATTTATATATAATAATTATTTTTTTAAAAAAATCTTTCAAATTTTATTTAGGGGGATAATGACTTTCATGTCATGGCTAAGTCACAAAGAACTTCAAAACTTTGGAAAAAAAAATATATCCCTGAGAAGTGAGAGATAAAAAAATACCTCAAAACAAAACAATCCCCCTCCAAAAAAGCAGAAGCAACAGTCCTATACCATTCTAACAATCTTTATCATAGCATAGTATAAACTATTATTAACAGCTAGCAATCAAACAGTCCAATCCTGGAGAGTTTCTGGCTCTGATGATCTGATCATTTTGTAATGAATGTACAAGTGCAACATTAAAAAAAAACCCAGACAAATAAAAACTGTGGTTTTATTGACAACTTTACATTTTTGCCGAGTGCAAGGCTGGCCTGCTAAGAATTGACTATTTCAGTAATGACCAAAGCAGTAATTTCTGCCGGCATCAGAAGTCTCTGTTTCTTCCACTGATGTTCACCCAAAAAGTAAGAGCAATACAATAGCAATTGAGTTCACTATTATCAATGGCACTGCAAAAAGAAAAAAAGTTTGTTACTATAAAGAAAAATCATGAAAAAAATTAAGCAGTAATAACTAGCATCCAGGAAAGATGAAAAAAATTTAACAGTGTATCATCATAACCATGTTGTAAACAGTTATAACAAAAGAACTTTTAAAAATGCACTGCATCATGAAACCCACAACTTATTTAAATGGAGTTTGTATAACTAGGAATAGGGGGTCATGCTGCACAAGTCGATCAATATGAAATGCCTTGAGATTGTGCTAGTGCAACTCTGCAAACACAGAAGCACACTAGATCTGGGCAGAAGTAGATCTACATGGCTGCAGTGACATAGGAAATGACAAATACAGTGTAAAGATTCTGTACCTTCATTGCTAAATTAAGAATGAATTTATTAACACTGAATCCAAAGTTATGATTAAAATGGCTAAACAAGGAAAAAAGGCCCCCCAACTTTGATGTTTAAATACAATGCATTTTGATATTTGATAGTTTTTTTTCAATTTGTTTGAGAATATTTTCCATTAGAATGGCAGACATGGGACCTTGAAAATCGTCCACAATGCTAGGTAAGTTTTCAACTTGGAAGGAACAATTTCTAGAAAGCAGGGATGTTACTCCATCATTTACCTCTGACAGGTAATATAAATACATTATATATAGCACTCAGTATTCCATTTACATCAGCTGGCTTAGTGAGAGAGTGGCAACCTAAGAAACAAGTAACTTTCAAACAGTAAAGGCAGGCTGGGAAGAAAAAAAATTCCCACTACAAAAAGTGATGTGATATGTGATAGCACTCACACTCTGAAGCATTGTTACTTCAAGCAAACCACAAAGTTAAAATTTAAAGAGTGCTCTGCAAATTATTCTCCTTACCTCTCATCACAGTTCTTACAGATCGAATAAGGTTCATTAGCTGAGATTTAATTCCTGGCTCCTCTCCGAATCCACCAATTCCCTGGTCTGTTCCCCAGCCAACTGTGTAACAGAAAGACAATTAGCTGTGTTAAAATTTACTATGCACTCCTTTGCTGCTTCATTAGTTATCTTTTAAAAGATTTGTTTGAGGCCTTGTTAAAGACAATACTTAAAGTTAGATGTTTTTGATATTGAGTGAAATATTTTATTTCCTTTTATAGTAGCAACAACCACATTTTACCTCGTTTACACTTTGATTTTGTAAAAATAATCTATAGTGCAGGGATGGGAATGTAACTCAGTGGTACAGCACTTGCCTAACATGCTCCAGGCTCTGGTTTTAATCCTCAACATCACAAAACAACAATAACAATAATAGTAACAATAATAACAAAATAGTAATTTCTAATTTCTCAGGTCAGAACTGAAAAGCAAATTATAGTGCCACGCTGAATAATAATTAACTCAAGAATTTACTGAATCCAACGTAATTTTCAGTAAAATTGGAGCCAAGAATCACCATCTTTATTATGTGGGTAAATTTTAATTTATGACTGGTCACAGGTTAGGTAGACCTTCATGGCATACTCTACTTTGCTAGAAAGACATATCTTTTTCCCCTTTTCCCTTGATTTTTCCTGTTCGTTTCTTGATTGTAAGATAGATTTTTGCCCACTAAACCCTTTTACCCTTTCCTATGTCATTTTCCTATCATAAGCCTTCACATATTTTTATGTGCTAGTTCTTTTATTATTACTATATATAGCATCTTGTAAAAATTTACATGTCCTGCAATTTGTCCTCTTGTCCTCATTTCAGGTATACTTTTCACTACCTAAATGGCTACAGGGCTTAATCAATTCCCAAACTAACCCCTGGATGACAGAAAACAAATCTTTATTTTATATTCGAAACAATCTAGTATCAGGAAACAAAATTTCACTTTGCTTAACCAACTTTTTTTGGTTGAAATAAAGGACAAATAATGCTTACTTGCTTTTTTTTCATTAAGATGTGTATCATGATATAAAACTAATATAAAATTCAGGTTAAAAACAGATGTTTGACTCTTTCCACCTCATTCTTTCAGGCCTAGCTTGGTTTTGCGTGCAGCCCTGCAACCTTTACAGTGGTCACTCTAAGCTTCCAAAGCACAAACTCCAGCTTGGTTGTAAGTACACCGCCCATAGTAGTGATGGTGAAACTTTCAGAGCTTTCAATGATAACAAACAGCCTGCTACAGCACGCATGCCGCAAGTTCACCACCACTGGCCTATACCACCATCTCTTGTCAATTCAGAAGATGCCTTTGTAATCTCAGTTTCAAGCCCTTGAATTTTTTTCCTTTGGAATCCTGTGATGATTCCCATTACACACTGAATAAAGTCTAAAACTGAATTTAATGAACTCCTTAAACTGACTTTCTAGAATGTGTCAAAGTGTCCTGGAACCAATTCTCTTCCAATACTGAGAGACAATTGTATTTCTATGCACAATTATCCATTAATTACTGTCAGGACCTTTCCTAATTCCCTCCCACATATCATAATAAACCTTTCTCTTTATACTACAAATAATCTACTAATTATAGTAACCTTCTTCTCCCTTAGTTCATTGTATTCAAGTGTCTCCCATTATAAATTCCTGGATGATAGGGAATACAATTTAGTTATCTTTCTTCATCTCCACTATTCCTCACCCCCCACCCCACAGCAAGTACTTAGCAAATGTTTACAGAATTAAACTAAAATAAAGTAGACTAAGTTAATCTAAGATATGGTAAGATTAGATAAATTTTAAGATTATTAACAAAATTTTCCAACTTTATTTTTAAGACCTATGAATTATAAAATGGCCAAAATAGATCAGAATATGGCCCAATGAACAAAAAAACCCTTATGTTGGCAAATTACTGAAAACTTTCAGGGATAAAGAGAGTATCTTAAAGGCTTAAGCAAATTAGGTTATCTACAAGGAACCAAAAAATGAGATGGCACTGAACAGCAGCACTATTTATCAGAAAATTAAATGGTACAATCTTCAAAACTCTGAAGAAAAATTAGTTTCAGTCTAGAGGTTGATACAGAACCCACAAATCAACAAGAAAGGGATGCTGAGGATATTCTGGGATGCTGAGGCAGGAGGATTCCAAGTTCAAGCCCAGCCTGAGAAAATTAACAACTTAGTGAGATCCTGTCTTAAATATAAAAAATATAAAATTTAAAAAAAATGTAAAGGGCTGGAAATCAATTTCAGTGCAAAGGTCCTGGCTTCAATCTCTGGGGTGGAAGGCAGACTTACACTTTATAGCCTATAAATATTTTTAAAAACATGCATATTTCTTTGGTAAAAATAAAAATAAAATTTAAAAAAGAGGACTGTAAAAAGAACAACATCTATTGGAGAAAGAAGCCATCTACAATTAGGGCTTCCTCAGACAAATATCTTGAAGGGATGAGTTCTGTTAAAAGTGGAAGAGCTGAATCCATATATCACTAAGAATATTTAAAATTATGTTTTGAAACTACTTTAAATGCTACTATTGGTTTCATTTTCTTTACTTGCATTTATGAAATTTATCATTGCTAAAATTTCATCAAACCTTTCTAATCACACACTTTTTCAAATAGTAAAAAGGACTTGTTTTAAGAACTATATGAAACATGTACACACCTAATTTTTATTATAAACCAAAATTCCCACCAGTCTTTTAGACCTGTTTCAAAGAGATATTTAATCAGTTTTTACCACGAGTGACACCCAAAAACACAATTTCTAATTAAACTGCTCTTCAACATAACAAGGGAAAATTAGTAGTACCATAATTTAAACATTGGCACTGAAGTAATTAAAATAAGTGGTGAATTATCAGTTAATTGTAGCCCAGTCTCTTTTTATGTTCACTAGCATGAAAAAGCAAACAATTTTGGGTGGAAAGTAAATAATTTGTGCAGACAGTTCACAGAAAAATGTAAGTGTGGCAAGTAAAAGACCAGGTACCAGAGATTATCTTTTAGTATAACAAACAGATTTCCTTCCAGTTGCTACATAGAAAATATCAGTTGTTGTACTCAGGAAACTGGCTAAAACTTTGTGAAATTCTGCCTTTTTTTAAAAAAAAGAGAAAGATATAATGCTGTGGCTTTGTCGCTTCCAAAGCTACAGGGTTTAACAAATGATAATACCAGCCAGCAGTAGTTTCTGTCTTAATTCCAGAAATTTAAACAGAAAAACAGAATTTTAAACAGAAAGTTATTAATTGTAAATATCATACATATTTTTCAGCTGCCTAGACTTCAAACAAACATAAACCAGTAATTTACCCAGGCTCAGTCAAAAACCTTCAACTAGACACATTCTGAAGAAAAAGTATTAGCTACAGTTTTGAGAGCTAGCTTACCCTGTACAAATCTTAGCTTTTGTGAAATAGTTTCTACATGTGAAAAAGAGAATGCATGTAATTTATCCAAGTCACCAAGTTTGCATGTGAATTAAATCCTGTCATGAATAAACTGCACAAAAACTCTGCTAATGTAAGTTTTTGAAACTGCTTTCATTAAATAGATAAATGATAATGTAACTGATCTCAGTAAGATTAAACAACCTTAGTTCTATGTAATTCCCCATTTGTTGAAATTTTCACTTAATCCCCGGTGAAATTAAACAAATGCTTCCTATAAGCATATACTTCAAATGAAAAACATCTACATAAAATCATTCCTCAGTGTTTCAGAAACTGCCATGATCAAACTTTATCTACATTTTGTGGGATGCCTTGCTCCTTTTTCTATACATTTATACAATCCCAACTTACTAAGATCTACACCTTCCAGAATTCTCTATTACTCGTGGTCACAGAACTCTCACTATTCTAAATTCGAAAAATATTACATTGATCTGAAGCAGTCATGTAAACCTTGAATTAAACAGCTTGTGATATTTTAAGTCTTTGCCATATACTGAATCATGTCCACCCCTCACCCCATATATTGAAATTCTAATCCCCACATGACTGGAATCTGGAGCTAGGGTCTTTAGGAGGTAATGTAAAGCTAACCGAGGTATAAGGGTGGGTTCCTACTCTAATAAGACTGTAGTTTTATAAGAGAAAGAGCTCTCTACAATGTGGGAGTTGATTATAAACTAGGAAGAAGGCCCTCACCAGAACTAGACCATGCTATCACCCTGATCTTGGACTTACAGCCTCCAGAATTGTGAAAAAAATACATTTCTGTTGTTTATGCCACCCGGAGTATGATTCTTTGTTATGGCAGCCAAACCTAACCAATATGTTTGGGTTTTTTTGTTTTTGTTTTTGGTGGTGCTGGGAACTGAACCTAGCTCACATACTAGGCATGTGATTAACCATTGAGCTACATCCCCAGTCCCAGTACTTAATATCTACTTAAATTAATATAAATATTATATACTTAAATATTACAAAATATAGTCAGATATCTTAAAACCATAGCTTATCTATTTATATAAACTACTGTAGTGCTTTCCCTTGGTTCCAGGACCAACTCAAAACACATGGTCAAGCAAAGAACTATGTTTCCTTTGGGCAGAAGTGGAAAGGTGGAAGACAAAGTTCTGGAGGGCAAAGGGTGCATGACAGTTAACTGTGGTGTCAGCTCCAGTAAGTGGAGGACAGTTCTGGGTGTGCCTGGATGAATGACTTATAAGCCACACACTGAAGAGTCTTAGTTACTTTTTCTCTGTGTCTTAGTTACTTTTCTCATTGCTGAGATAAAATACCCAACATATAAAATTAAAAGAGGAAAAGTTTATTTAGCTCAGTCTGTAGAGGTTTCAGTCCATAATCCAATGGCTCCAAGGCAGGGTGGCACATGGCAGAGGGGTCAACTGTTTGTGGTAGCAGAAAAGACCACAAGTAACCAAGGAAGGTGGGAGGCAAGCCTCTCTCTCTCCCTTATATTGTATGCGGGCTACCCGCTCTTGGGCAGGTGTAGCACTCACACCTTTATTCTCAGCATTGGACCTTGAATCAATCACAAACTCTAGATGTACCCACATCTGAAAAAGCCTAAGATTGCATG